CCAAATTGTGCACATATATGCATGTGATGTGTGTATGTGTGAGTGTGTGTGTGTGTGTGTGTGTGTGTGTATGGTGAGGTGAGTGTGTAAGAATTCGTCTGGACAAAAGAGTTCAGTGTTCAAATGCATTTAAAAAGAAAAAGCTTCTTATGAAGCTTATGACAGCTCCCCTTTGGAATTTGACAATGGACATAAAAGTTTAAAACCTTCGAGACTTTCTGTAACACCTGTTCTTTTTTATTTATACCAATGTTTGGAAACCTGTATGACCAGGGAACCCTTGGTAAGTATAAGGCCTATTAAAATCGCCTTTGGACAAGTTTTTTGTTTTGTTTTGTTTTCTTTTCTTTTCCAAATAAAAGGAAAGGAAATACACAGGCTCATGGTGGTGGGAAGCTAAGATTCTGTAGTGGGTGAAAGCAAGACCTAAGATGCAAAGATATAGGGGGTGAGAAGGTAGGAAAGGTGGTTTTCCAGGCCCCTGGTGGGGAAGGCAGTCAGGAGAGGCAGTTTCTGGGCCTACGCAACCTCTGGATCTAGGAAAGAATCTCTGTAAATGTGTGGTACTTATCACGTGATAAAATCTCAATACAGCTTTAGAGATTAGTATAATCTCAGTGAACTGAATTATCTTTTTAATGACCTTAAAGAACAGTTTTAAAAGTACAAAGACATTATGAGACAGTTTCATATCACTATAGGTGGTACTAGCACAGTAAGGCCAGGCCAGGCTTCCCTACATGAGTTCTGGGAAGAAGGTAGATAACCATGTATATGAGCAATCGGTTTTGAACTTCAGCATGCATGAGAATCTCTAGGGATCTTGTTGAAGGTATAGATTCCCATCCCAATTTCTGGGGTGGAGCTCAGGAATAACATTTTTACCTAGTGCATCAGATGATTCTGTGCGGGTGATGCTGCAAGTTCTCTTTGAACACACTGTTGTGTGAGGCTAATAATGAGTGTTAGCAAAAGGAGAAAAACTGGAAGGAAGTGGGGGAAGCTGGGGTGCTAACTTGCAAAGCCAAAGACACATGACTTGGTATGAAAGCTGAAGCATGAACTGATGATAAAAGAGAAGAAGGTGCCATAAATTAACCATGAGACTCAGACAGGATTGTCTGACTTGAAATCGTGTACATAACCCCCCTCAACGACCCCCACCAGGAAACATAATGGTTCAGCAGAGGATGAGAGATTATGCTGTGTGTGCATTTGTAAGGAGCGCATGTGGAGTCATGGTTATGGGGAAGGCTTGATTCAGCACTAAGAGAAGAAGGGGTTTCTTGGGTTTCTGAGACTTTGTGAAACTTTTCAGAAGATAGGCTGCCATGTCATAATACCTAGCTACCTAGCTACCTCTTTTCCTCATGCTGGTCATGTATTTTGAGTAGTGCTTGGATGATTCAAGCTAAGGGAATACTAGTCTAGATAGAGGCAGGAAGTTAGAAAGTCCCAGAAAGGATATCTGTGAGAACAAAAAAGGATAGGATACCCATGATGGGTTACCTGAAGAGCAAGCAAACAATGAACTACAACCTTCCCTCCAAACATGAAAATATTATAAATACCAAGAGAAAATAAAATCAAAGGCAATTAGAAACTCCAGGCAAAACAAAAGGCATCATAAAAAAGGAAATTTAAACAAGTACACTATCTCAGGCTTCAGTGAACAATGCTTAAAACATGTTCATAATCTTGTAAATACTAATGTTTGTAGAACCAAAAATTACGACAATGATATTTGGAAGATAGGGAGGTGTTGGGTGGTAATGAGGAGCTAAGTTATCACCTATCATATAGGAATTTTAATAGATAATCCAAACTTGATATATCAAGCCAATTAAGAGAGCAGAAGACATGCATTATTTAGTGGTAACTGTCAGAAGAGAGGGCTAAAAAGTTAAAAGTGACAGTAGTAACTGGAGAAACGGGTGGTAGATAGGAAGGGATGGTTGCAGGATGCTGATTTTTATTCTTTCAAGGCTACTGGATTTTTAAAAAAATTATTATTTTAATTTACAATATTACTAAAATATCTGGATCTCTTCTGTGTCTGGGAGGCTGTGGGCATCTGTCAAAAGGTCCTACCACTAAGAGAACAAAGCCAGGCTTAGGTTTTTCCTGGTGGCTCCCTATTCCCTGGACAGCAATGAGTGTGCTTTAAGGACAGAGAAAAGAGCAAAAAGCAAGATTCTGGAGGCAAAAGGGATGCAGGCACCCCACTCTCCTCAGGAAGAGTCCAGCCTCTGGCCTCTAACCAGGGACTGGGGTGGAGGGAACCTCCTGCAGAACAGATGCCTGGCCACGTGAAGGGCTGCAGGTTTGCTGAGGGAGAGAGGCCATGGGCCAGACCTGGGGCACTGGGGGCTGGTCGGAAGGTACAGAGGGTCTCACTTACGTGCACACACTCCTATTGCGTACCTCGGGCGGTCCCCACTGTAGTCGCAGTAGAGGCCTCTGTGAGGGTCACAGATGGCGGCCTCTGTGCAGTTGTCCCCAAGTTGCTGGGCACACATCTTACAGCATTCACAGCCATCTGTGATGAGGCTGACCCCCAGTGGGCAACGGGGTGGGTATGGCGGGCATTCACATGGCCACTTGCAGAACTGGGGGCGTGAGGATGTGTCCTCCAGTGGTGCTGGGGTGAAGACCATGGTCGTGGGTGCTGGAGAGAGGGCCTGCAGGGGAAGGGCAGAGGTGAAGGGGGCTGCCGAGGCAGGTGTTTCAAAACCCAAAGGGCCCTGCAGTGGCTTCCCATCTTCATGGTCTTCAAAAGGTTTTCATAAACTTATTTTTTTCTACCATGCTTTTGATAGCCAAACATCTCCTTTCTTCTCAATGAAACAAATAGAACAGACAGGCCCAAAGTTCAGAAAAGTTGAACAAAGCGCCTGAATCCCACACTGGTGAGTGGTGGGGTCTGGGTTCTATTTCAGCCCCGTGCTTTTGTCCTTCCTCACTCGATCATCCCCCAGCCCCAGAGGCAGGTGGGTGAGTCTCATCTCGCAGAAGCAGGAGCTGAGGCTTTGAGGAGTTCCTGGCCTGCTGCTGAGTCACGTGGCTGTGGCGGCTCCTACCCCGGGTCTTTTGCTACATCCTGCAGCTCCACCCTCTTTACTCCAAGGGTCCTGAAGACCTCCTGGAGTTAGACTACTCCTATTTAGTGCTCCCACTCCTGGGCCATGGAACATCCTGTGCAGGGCTTCTCAGGCCAGGGCTGCTTGGTGGGGGGCCAGGTCGGGGTGGGTAAAAGGCCACTGGCTGGTTGGGTCCAGGCTGCTCGCTCCATCTGGTGCCAGAGGAGCCCTGCTCTAAGGGAATTATAGATCCGCACTCCACTCTGAACACAGGCTCCTATCCTGAGATATTCAGACAGATTCTTCCCCCCTTTTACCCAGGCTGGACTTCAGGGTTCAGTCGTGTCCAGCCCCTCCCACCTCAAGGCCTCTGTGATGCAGTCCCCTGTGGCTGAGATGCCTTTCCCTCCTCCTGGAGGACTCTCCTGACCTGCTGCTCTTCTGTGAGCACCTGGTTTTCCTTAAGATGCTCTGCACACTAGGTAATTGTGCCTGCATTTGGAGGTTAGTGACTGTGAACTTCATGCGGATGAGAACAGGGCGTGGAGGGCCCTCCCTGCTGCCCAGGCCCCCTGCACGGTGCCTGGCACAAGTGCTAATCCTAGTTAGGGACAGACAGGGTGGCTTCTCTGTTAGGGCAGAGACAGACACCCAGGATAGCCAAGAAAATCAAGCCTATGGCCCCTTCCAGGGAGGAAGGCCTTCTGGCAGGGAACAAAGAGCTCTCCTGGGTTGGCAGCCCTGGTTGGCATTCACCTGGGAAGCATTAGTTTGCCTACAACAGGATATAACAACAAATTTCCCCAAATTTCCAAAGCAGTAGAAACAACTCTCCTCCACATACACACACATCCAGACCCACCCCTCTTTCTGACCCCATGGAAAGAGACTTTTCCCTGCTGCCCATGACACTAGAAACACCAGAGCTTCATGAGCACCCACGGACCATTTAAAGATGCTCTCTCCTCCAGGAAGCCTTCCCTGCCTTTGCCACACGGTGTTAGAGGTTCTGCCTCCCCCACTACAATGTACACTTGTAAAGGGCAGGGTCTGGGTTTTACTTCTCCCTGTGTGTCTGAAACACAACAGATGGCACACAGCCAGATTTCATAGGTGGATTGGTGGAATAGATGGATGGGCTGGGGATTGGTGGCCAAAAAGGGCTTTGGTGTCACTTGATATTCAGGACATAATGTCCTGGAACCTCTCCTCTCATCATTAAGTTTAGGTGTCAGGAAAAGATCATGGGACCTGAAATAGTCAGACATGGGTTCTTCCCATGTGGCCTTGGACAAGCTTCCTAATCTTTCTGAGCCTCAGCATTCCCATCTGTGATATGGGCACAAGAATACCCACCTCTGGTGCTGTTGAGAGGGTGAAGGGGCACTGTATGTGTGGAAGCACTGGATAGAGCCTGGAACATGCCAGACACTCAAAAGCATGACTCCTCCTTGTATTAATGTGGCTGTGCATCTCCCCCTTCCCCACAGTGCCTCGCACAGAGCTGGGGATCTGCACACTCTGAGCTGAGTTGGAGTGGGCTGTAACCTGGTGGGTACCCCACTCTACTATCTATCCTCCTGTCTCTGTTCCAAGTTGAAGATCCCAAGAAGGAAACTTCCTTTCCAAGTACCTGCTTGGGGGACCCAGTGCATGCAGCTGGCTAGGGAAAACCATAGAGAAGGCATCCCTTGGACAGGGAAGCTGCTATGGGATCCCTGGGGCAGTGGCAGGATGGGCTCTGGGCATCTGCTAAGCCAAGCCTTTGCTGTGGGCACCATCTAGTGGTGGGAAAACTCCTAGATGCAGTCTGAGGAGAAGGTCCTTAACAGTAGCTGTGCAGTGGGAAAAACCTCAGACCCCAGGGCCTGAGGACTCCTGGGTTTGGTGTGTGACCCTCTGAGTCCTGGCTGCCTTTTCCAGTATGGACACCAAGGACATGGGACTACAGGTCACTAGTATGTCCAGACTGCTGATAATCAACCCATCCCCTCCTTGCCCGTGTGCACACAGGAGGACAGATGGTTAGCACATGGTTTCTGTCCTGGAAGGTTGACAGGTTAGCCAGGGACATATACATTTATTCTTTTACCCACTCTATCAACAAATGCTCATTGAACACCTACTATGTGCCAGACTTTGTGCTAGGCTGGAAGGAAGCAGAGGTGTCTGGGATGAGCTATTCCCTCACTAGCTCACCCTCTAACAAGGCCAGCAAATGCTGTGATGATGGCGTCCACTCACTCATTCATTCTCTCTTTCATTCATTCTTTCAACACATCTCTTATCAGCTCTTATTTTGTGCCAGGCACTGAGCCAGACGCTGGGGAAGCAGCAGAGAAACAAAACGGACCTGCCTGTGGGTGCACAGAGGAAGGGGTGAGCTGTGTGCTAGGGCTTCACAAGGGAGGGGACCTGGTAGCAGATCCTGAAGGAGGAGTAGGAAAAGAGCAGCGAGCCAGGAGGGGAGAGAACCCAAAGTGCCAGGGGCAGCAGGTGCGAAGGCGCTGACCTGGGAGTGTGTACGAGGGCCCAGGGCATGGGGAGGGGCGTGGCTCGACCCAGGGGAGGGCGCAGGGCAGGGTGGGTGACAGGGGGTTCCTCAGGCAGCATAGATTGAGGAAGGCCTCGAATGCATGGCTTTGGGCTGGGGTCTGCTGAAACGATTTGTTGAAGGATTTTAGCAGGAAAAACACAGTGGCAGATTTGTGTTTTAGAAACACTGCACTATGTCAAATCTAGCCTTGGTCACTTCTTATGCGACTCCAGAAGTTCACTTCTGAACCTCAGTTTTCGCCTCTGTAAAATGGGCTTCCTCCCATGGCTCGCCTCCCACGTGACTGGCAGTGAGATCAGGGCTACCGCTCCTCCTGCTCAGTGGCCCATTGCAGACCAGTACTCTGACGACCACCTGAGCCAGTCTTGGCTAGGCCCAGGTCACTCTGGCTGATCCTATTCTGTCTTCCCCATGGTGGCTGGCATCATTACTCCCATCTGACACATCAGTAAAGTGACTTGCCCACGGCCAGCACCTAGAGAGCGACAGAACTTGGATTTGAACCCAGATCTGCTTGGGTTCATGTTTTTCCCACTATTGTGCATGAAGGGAAATTTTCTAATGGAAGAAACTGGCTGAGAGGTAGTGAGAGCACCACCAGTGGAGGAGATCGAGAAGCAGCTGGACAGTCGCAGGGCGGGGGTTTGTGAGGGGCTTCAGGCCTCCCGAGGCCTGGCACATAGTAGGTGTCAATAGCACCTGTCGATTGAATGAGTTAATGTACGTTTCCTTGACTGAACTGTTGACCCGTCAAGGCAGAAATCACTGCCATCTGCCTGTTCACTTGTGCACACGAACACAAAGGTCCCTATAATCACCTATAAAATATAGCTAATATTTACCAATTATATATGGAGGGCTCTGTATACACTGTCTCATGTAAGCCCCC